ATAACTCTTAATTCCAACTAACGTTAACCTCGTTTCTTCCTTTTTTTTTTTTTTTTTTTTTTTTCTTCAACGACGCACTCGCCGAAAACTTTCAACGATGTCCTAGTCCGTGTCTTAAAACTGCACGGTCAATGATCCCTTCCTGCCCCGATTTCACCAATTTCGCCTTCTCTCATTGCTACCGCTGTGGTATCTACGTTTCCGGTTGATGTGACCGATTGTGAAAATCTCGTAACGTATGCCTGATCAAATTCGAACGAGGGTCCAGCAGGTAAACACCCTCGAGATCGCAACAACGTAATGGATAATGATCGTCACTCACCGATCGAGGACGCGCCCGTGACATCTGGATCTAGCTGGCTCGCGTAGCTCTTCCTTCTACACGGAGAAGACCTCTTCCGCGGCCCTCTCTTTCCGCTCGGTGTTCACTTCAAGTCACCAACTGACAAACCACCCACACACTGCAACGCGCACCGCCGAAAAATCCTGTAAATCTTCCAAAGTCGCGATCGGTCTCTGTCGCACGCGGCCGTCGCCGTTTTCTCCGATCTCTGCGCGTATCCAGGTTCGAGAGGGGGACTAGGGGCGCGGGGGGGAGGTACGGGAAAAGAAAAACGTTCGTGTTCGTGATATTCGGGCAATGGAAGTCAACGGTGTAAAATACAATAATAGCAGCAGGCGCGTAACCAGCACCACGGTGGTCCTTCGCGGTGTCACACGGTGTGTACACGTTCGAGCCGTATATCGTTCTGTTACGTTCCGGCGGTTTAGCCGGCACGTGGTCGCGTACGAAACACTTTCAGCCTGGTCGACGAGAGAGAGAGAGCCCCACGCGTCCCGTGTGCTTGTAATCGCGCGTTCGACTGAGCGGCCGAGTACTCCCGAACTCGCCGGCTCTCGCTCGTGCCGCTCTTCCTGCTCGCGCTCGTCACGCGTTCCCTCTCCTTTCAACGCGCGCCGACTTGGACGCGTCGGCTCTTTCTACCGCGAGCCTCCCCACTCTTTCCTTGTCGCTCCAAAATGCCTTTTCGCGCATTTCTCTCCCGGTATCTCCGTCTCTTTTGCCCCTGCTTTCTCCCCGTGCTCTGTCTTTCTTATCACTGCAACTCTCTTCTTTTCTTTCTTTCTTTCTTTTCTTTCTCCTCGTACTTTTGCGAATATTTTACTGATTCCGCTGTCGATGGTCGCAACGATTACGATTTCAAACGTGTTGCCAATTGATCCGTGCCTCTCATTACTTCGGTTGTACACGCTTCATTTGAATACTTTCCCTGCTTTCTTTTCTTTTCGCGTGTGTGTTACGCCACCGTCTTAGACCATTGCCGATTGATCGCCGCATCCTGCGTTTGCACGCTTGTCGCTTCCCTCGCTCATTGACGTTAGCCTCGGTTCCACGCGATTTTCTCAAGGCAATGAAGGGGAAGTCCCAGCGGCTCGTAATCGCCGAAAGAGAAGAATCTCGTCCATCTTCATTCCCTCCACACTCTCATTTTCCTTCAGCCCGCCACACTGGAACACGGGATTTATTATCTGTTACGTCGTGTAATGTCTTTCGAGGCAGGTTAGAGTTCGCTTAACTCGACATTAGCCGTTTAGACCTGCTCCCCCCCGTCCTCCCCTTACGACGGCGCTCTTCTGCATTCTGCCGGTGAAATCGGTTGACGGGTGATCAACCAACGCGGCAGTAAATCACCAACCGGGCATTAACTGTTGCAAACGGTTGACCGTTTTATTGCGTATTTGCGTCAAACGCGCGGCGATGAAGTCAACGGCTGCCGAGTCAGCTGTTACCGACCGAACTTCGGACAGAGTTTAGAAAAAACTCCCGGAGAAAAGGGTGGACACGGCTGCGATATCGCTGCAAGGTCGAACGATACTTTTAAACGAGTCATATACGGGCCAGTAGGTCAAGTCGACGTTAGTGTGTACACTAGTATATACGAAGCAGATCGTATAACGCGTGTCGAAATTGTTCGTCCGACAACGTAGCACGCTTTCGTTAAAATCCGATAAGGCACCGTCGATTTCGAGCGTGCGTTATCGATCGACGAAGCCAGACCCAGTCGTCATAGACATCAGGAGATTAGATTTCTTTTTTTCATTGTCCCAAGATCGTCGCCGCTTTGAGGAACCGACTGATACGAATTCCCCGAACTGGAGGTCGCTCGCGCGGACTTTTATCCGCGATACAAATGAAAGTTCCTCTGCTTTCTTTCTTTCTTTCTTTCTTTCTTTCTTTCTTTCTTCCTCTGTCCAGCTTGCAAACGATAAAGATTGATGAACGGTAATCTAGAGATGCGCCGTAGTAGAATCACGAAGCGGCGGGATAATCCCTGTAGACGATTCCATCTACCTGAATGTTAAGATTTATGCGTCTAATATGACCGGTATTAATTCATAAATCCGAAGGGTATTACCATCTACGAAACTACGCGATTCATAAATCCCGAGATTTATGCGCGCAATGCTATAAGCGCGAGATGGAAATGCCCGCTCGCCCGTTCGTCCGCGGTGTGCGTGCAGTTAAATTAACCTTGAAGCGATTCAGTTGCACGGATAAAATTGCAAAATCTTTGCTACTCGGTTTTAACGTTGCCCGTTATTAAATATTATTCCGTGCTCGCCGTGTTTACAGCTGCGCCGGCCGCTATGGACATCGAGTGTGCGTAAAATCGCAAGAAACGATTTACTCTCTCCGTCTCTGATGCGAATGCTTCAAAACGTCTGCTGCCATACGTTCGATTAAAATTTTTTCGGCCGGTCGAGGCGCGCGCGCGCGCAAGCGAGACCACACTCGTTCCCTAACGGACTAATACATATCCGAAAAAAAGAAACAAAAAAAAAAAAAAAGAAAATAAAGGGATTTGCAATTCCACCACTGTGTGACATCAGAGGCAAAGATCTTCGACCGGAGGAGGAGATGGAGGTCGTTGCTAGAGGAGGAGGTGGCGGAGAAAGAGAAAGAGGAGGTGGAGGAGGCACACGGGTTCGCTTTTGCCTGAGCGTACCCGTTCGTTCACCCTAGCGGGGGCACCAACCTGGCTTTACTTCAGTTACACGCCGAGAGAGCCGGCGCTGTATATAGGTATATAATACATTCTCGCGTGTACTTACATCTAGTATAGGTAGGTATACGGAGTGTACAGAGAGTGTCCCGGTCGAGCATGATGCGGTTCCACGGCCCTTTACGAGCGAGGCGGGGTACCGACTTGCCCCGTTCTCCAAAGAGAAAGATGGAAGACACTATGAGAGAAAGGGACAGGGGGCAAGCCCTTGTGTTCGATCGCTTTCGACGAGCCACGGATCGTACTTTCAAAGAAATTTTATACCCTGATATAGATATTATGATAAGAATGAACGTGATTTTACCTTGTCGTTGGGAATTTTCAATAGTTGAATTTTAACTTTATCAAAGTGGAAGCAAGTTGAAATTACGAAAGTTATTTATAGGTTTGTGTCCTTTTTTTTTTTATATGTGTATACTAACGTCATTTTTTTCGACAAAGCACGATTTGCATTGCTCGGTGTCGAAGGGTCCTTGACCTAGCAGACGATGATTCCAAAACGCTGACTAGTCACAATAATAACGACGCTTATTTACGATAGGATCGCTAAAATATATCGCCGTAGTGCGTCGCACGTTGGTATTTAAGGATTGTAACGTCTTGTTATTTTATATCTAAAAAGATTTTACGATTCTTTATTTATTTTCACGTAGCCTCAATTTTCTAGCAGTAAGTAAATAAAGGTATCTATATATCGTTACTAACTCATAAAAATTAATCAGATTGTACAATACTTCTTCCCTGGGAAAGCTGGATAGAGGTTAGAGTTCAATAAGGACTACAATATTTTAATTAGGTGTAACGACCAGTATGTGTGCTGACCATTCTGATAGATACTGGATCTGTCACTGTGTCTGTTGGACTCGATGTCTGTTGCTGATGCGAGTAACTCACTTCCATGTCAATTTCGTCTAATTCTTCTTCCTCTTCTTCATGGGTGTCTGACTCTTCTTCTTCTTCTCCTTCACCTTCTTCTTCTTCCTCTTCTTCCTCCTCTTCTTCTGATCCTCTGAACTATGTTAATAAATAATTTCGATCGTATTAAATAAAATAACTTTCATTTTCACGTCAATTAATAAAAGTATACTAAATATAGGAAATTAATTTATCAGAATTTTCATATTGTTTAAAGAATATTTGCTCCTCTCTAATTTATTCACTCGCGTTCACTTAATCGATAGTCGGTAATGACGGCATCAACAATTGCCACGTATGGTAAAAAGTTTGACAATTTCGAAAAATATATTTCTTTTTATTTTATATGCGTCTGCATATATGAATTAAAGTAATAAACTATAAAAGTCAAGTACAAGACAAATATAAATCTCGTACAAAATCATTAAATAAAAGGAATACAGTAACTATGTACGTCAAAACTAAAAGTGAGGTTAACTTACATCACTGACTGTTTTTCCAATTGGGATATGATCATAACGTTGGACACGAACATGTTCTCTCTTAAAAAAAACAAGCAAAGATGAAAGATTAATGCAACTTAGACAATAGTAGTTTATATTCGTTATATATGCGTTGTCATACGTAATTTGCTCACCCAAGCCTGATGTTCAGCTTCAAGTGCAGCTACCTCACTCTCGTCATCGCAAGGTCTATCGGCATTAAACCACAGAGGATCCGTTGCTCTGGGTTGTAAATTTGGCCACAATGGAATAATTGACATTTTGAGACTTTTTTTCACTATGTGTCGAAAACGTTCGTATATCAACTATCAAATTGAAGTATGCAAGTACACAAACTGTACACGTATGCGCAGATGTCATGCGCTTAGATTTTGGCGCTCAAAACTTCAAGTTCAAACGTTCTTCAACGTGTAAAGAGAGAATACGTTTGTGCGCGTACAAGAAAGAACGAATGTTTTAATAATTTAAAATATTAATTTTTCATCCCGTTTTTTCAATGCTCATGTATCTCTGTTTAATTTGACGTTACAATTTTGTCTTTAAATCTTAAAATATTTTCAACATGGAATGACTTACTGCGCCATCTGCTGTGGAACGAAAATAATAGCATCACTACTCTAGTGTCACGTGTTTACCCGCCGAAAACCATTAAGCCGAGTCTTCGTTATGTTTCATCTACGGCGACGAAGGAAATCGTGAATGTTATGTGCAGTTTATTAATGGATCTGTGAGAGATTGCTCGAGCGTTCCCGCAGAGAAATCTGCGAAAGTGTCTGTCTTGTTATAATCGTGTTTAAGTATTTTTACAAAAGAGTAACACATTTTACAACATAACCTCGGCTATTTAGCAAAGGTAAGATCGAGAATTGTTATACTTTATATACGAAACTAGTCTAATTTAATTAGTACAGATGATGTAATTCTTTCAAAAATTTAATTCAAAATTCGCATGTACACGAATCTTATGATATAAATTAAACGCGAATGACCTATATTGACAGCTACATATATTCATATTACTAGAATGCAGTAGGGTGGTCATGTAATCAAACCTTCGTGTATTTTAGCGTTAATATATCTCTGTAGTCTCTATGATCTGTCATTAGCTCTATCTGTCAACTATTTCTCTGACATTAGATTTTCGCATCATGTTCCTAGAAAATGAAAGTACTTCGGTATTTCTTCTTTGAATTTTATAACATAAAATAACATATGTTTCGTGGTGTATGGTACAGTGATGGCTTGTACTGATAAAAAAGTGAATGTACTACTGCATTCACGTCTCTCTGTAAGAACGTTGCCAGTTAAGATGTAATGTAACGCATAAAGTTTCTCTTAAATTACGATTACAAAAAAGAAATATTCTCTTCGTCATACGGAAGCTGATAATTGACAACTTGATGCCTGCTATTTGATTTTCATCCATAAATCACAGTGCCGCTGTGTCGTCCATTGGTTAATCACAACCATCATCGATTTCAATTGAGACCAATATCAATCTTGCTCAATCCCGATCGTTTCCAATTTTACATTACTTACAGGCTCCGATACATTATTATATAATTTATTAAGATTACATAAATATAAATATAAATATATATAAATTATTAAGATTATATGTATTATTCAGAAAATATTTGAAAAGCATTAAATGGTTCTGGTGATTAATTCCTCAAGTAAGAAAGCATTATGTCATCGATGATTTTCCGTTTCACACTTTTAAGCAGACTTTAATGCAGAGATCTTTAATAATGGAATAAATCGATAATGGAAACATCTGAGGAAATTATAAAGCATGTTCCTTCGATGGAATCTTCGTATTTCAATATAAAGATTCCAACGGAGCATCGCATATCCATCTACAATGGCGTAGAAGTTCATAAATGGTCTGAAATACAATAGCGTAGGAATTATTTCTATTTCATGCGTATTTTTTTGAATTAAAACTTTTCTTTTTTTATACAGTATGATATACAAATTCCAGTTAAAAGTAACTTCCTGTATTGCTACCAGTCATTTCCCCGATCGATTTCCTGTTTTTAACGCACCGCGTCCCCATCGTTTGTTCTAATCACTTGTGGTTTCCGCGATGAAATTGTCTGTTTATTATCATGAAATTCCCCCTGAAAATAAGGGGGAACTCGTATCATGTTCAATATTTGAATCAGTATTACCTTCCACGCTTTTCCTTGTTATACTACCTTGATGTTATCAAAAACAATCACCGGCACGTTCAATTATATTGTAAAATCGACTATAATTGCCTGATACAAGCTAAATATTCTTTTAAAACAAGGTATCGTTTTTTACTTCATTTACAGTATAAAAATGATACATTCCTTCGATTGCAAAACTCAAGTATGTTTGTAAACATTATGTTACCTTCTATGTACTATGAAAAATGTCGAATAAATAGATAAGGTCAGTCGATAATAAAATGACCAGTATATCCAAAGATAAGAAAGCGAAATGTGATTTATTTTAGTTGGCAATAGTATCACAAAGTATTTCTTGTTACACGCGACGTAGAACAGTTGTTTATTTTAAACATTAACAGTAAAATTATGGAAATAACGTACACGCGAATCTGCATTTTATCTCAATGGTACTTATGTAAGTGATGAAATTTTTACGAACACGTTTTGAAACTAGATATGGAAAGTGTTTGTGAAAAAATCGTTGTAAAAAAAAATGCAGATTTTCATACAATGTTCATAGTGCATTTTAGGAATGAATAGAATAATAATACTCGTTATTCAAGAGAAATGTGCATGCATATATCATTTAGATAAAATACTATTTACTAAAGTGTTAAAGATTAGCAGCGTGCAGAACAGAATGAGTTTCGTAATGGGATTTTGCCGATTATCATTTTACAGTACAAAACATATCGCGTTTCTCTTTCAGCGAGAAGTATAATTTTCACCAGGCGTTGTGTTTCAAAGCATTCGCCATTCAGCGCGTATGATCGCGATTTCATAAAAATTATATTTCTGTTAGGTAGTCAAATCAGTTGATACACCTGTAACGATAAGACAAATATATCTACTTTTATACTTCACATAAATATTTTTCTTGAATCGCAAACGCATTGATGTCAATACAGCTGTTCTTTCATTTTCCTTATACTCACAATCTTTATTTAAAAATAATTCTATTCTGAGAAAAGAAGGTAACAAAAATTATGCTATTGAATCTTCTTTTTTTTTTTTATGAATTTTCACAATCAACGTTTCGTAACGTCATAACACGTTTTTTAAATGATGGAATTACTTTAACGTAGTGTTTGATCTTGAATCAGTGAACGTTATGAATGCTAGCCAAGCAATCGCGTAGAATGGAATGTTAGCTGTTAGATTTACGTGAGATCGTACAAACTATCACGAAGAAATCCGCTTTAGAAAGTACGCCAACTCGTGCTTGTTTTTTTTTCCCCTTGTTCGTTCTTATTGTTCGCGTTACCTGACTGCCAGTTTCATGAACTCGTTTCTTCTTGTACTTCTGTTCCAAACTCGTTCACGGCTAGTCTGGCAGACTGCCGAAGTAGAACGAATGATTTTACAGAGATGACGGTATTAATTAGAAAAGGACATCGTTGAAAAAAGTATTATCGTTTGTAATTTATAAACGGATATGGTGACGGTTTTCTGAAAGCTCCATCGAATTTCTTATTCGTCGGTTAGTTACGTAATTGCTCTCCTCGGAAGAAGGAAGTAATTCAACAGCGAACATCGAAAAGTCGATGTATTTTTCTCAAATAAATAAACAAAGTTGAGGCATCGATGTTTTTGTTATTGCTCAATTACAATTTAATTTGTTAATTAGCGTTTTAAGTACATAGAGACCATGCTCCCACAATATGGCGAATGCTTTCACTGTAAAATCAATTGAGCAACAAGTGTTCTTAGAATTCTGACTCATCCTTGACAATTTATGGTGACGAAAAGTACTAGAAATTTGCATTGCAATTTTTTCTTATCTGATTTTTTTTTTTTTATGTTCCCGTAAAATTACCGAAAGTGATGGCCTGTTAATAATTTTAGAATACATAGTTGTAGGAATTCTGAGGTACGTGGCTTCTGTTTTCGATAGTGATTATTTCGACCTTCACAAATTAAATACGATGATTGGTCTTTGTAATAACTTTTCTATCTAATGCGGAAAAGGTGGTAACTATTCTGTGATATGAGTGTAATTACTAGAGTACCTACGATTCTCAATGTTTAAAATATCTATGAATCGAAATATCGGCAAATCTTTAAACTGGTTAAAGTAAATCGATATCTTTTTATTGCTATTATTAAACAGGTTGTTTATATAAAAGATCATTTGTTTCATCGGATTTGAAACATTTCTCTTTACAGATGTCCCATCACAATCATATGACGCATATGATGAATGCATCGAATGAGCACGCAGCTCACGCACCTCATCAAACTGTGGACCACTCGAGTATGCACGAAAATATGCACAGTTCTGTGGACCATGCTGACATGGATCATGGAAGTCACCTTACTGCTACCTCAGATTGTAGCAGCATGGGGATGCACGGTATGTCGGTATGTATCATCCAGAGATAAAAATTCTGGTGCTGACTATCGTATATAAAACTTCCGTTTACAGATGGTCTTCCATGGAGGGTATTGTGAAAATGTATTATTTGAATCGTGGAAAATCTCGTCAATCAGTGGCCTCATAGGATCGATGATCGGTATCATGATCATGGCCGCGCTTTACGAAGGATTGAAGTATTACCGAGAATATTTATTTTGGAAAATGTATAATTCCCTTCAATACAGGAGTGTCACGATGCCGCAAGAGAAAAACGTTGTAGCGGAGGATAACAGGGTTGTACAGTAAGTTTCGCCCGTTTAGATATATGGTCGATTATAACTTCGAAACTTATAGTCATGTTAATTCGATATTTTATATTTAAATTCGTGAGAATTGTCATATTTAATTTCATTTTCTTCTTCATTTTTTCTTTTTTTTTTTTTTAGTATGGTTGGAGAAGTAATTCATAAGCAGCCGTAAGTAGGAGTAAATTTCTTGATTTTTTTTTTTCCCTATTGATTCTGAAATCGCTTGTTTGTGAAAGTGCAGTTATATTTCTAAAATTCTATTCTTGAGCAAATACTTAACATAATTATGGCATTAAGCTCGTATTGTGATCTGTTTTATTACTCTAATCGGCATTATTTTCACTATTTTTCGAAATAGCCTCCGAGATCCTGACAATACTTATATAATGTAAAAAATTCAAGTATTACTTCAATCTTTTTATTAGTTTGTGAAGGCAAAATTCTTGACATAGATCTCTTTTTGATCCAATTTGCTATCAGAATGCGAGGTAATACTATATAATTGTTTTCTGGTTACTTAATTGCAATTTCATTTAAACCTATCGTTAATATTGCTTAGCATGATAAATTAACATAATTATGCATATATTTTTTTATATCTAGAAATTAATCCATTTCGTATAAATCTGTGCAGGCCCACAATGTTATCCTGGATGCATACGTTTCAAACGTTTTTACATATTGTGCAAATTGTACTGTCATATTTCCTTATGCTGATCTTCATGACTTATAATGTCTGGTTGTGTTTTGCTGTAGTATTTGGTGCAGCAATTGGCTACTTTTTATTTGGGTGGAAAAAATCTGTTATTGTGGATGTCACAGAACATTGTCATTAGTTTATGTATTTAAAATACATTGTGTTTTTACAACAAAAATGTACATTAATGTACATTGCCGAAAAGTTCATTCTAATTGAAAGAACTTTGGAACAATTACATGTAATATACGTGTGCGGGAAATATAATTATTCTAAATTCGTATTTACAGAAATATATAAAAAAAATTTTTCAATTTAAAGTTATTCCTTTGCATACAGAATGCAATTTATAATTGTCCATTAAGAAAGATAGCATGGCTTAATTATTATTGAATAAAAAATATCTATAAAATGCAGATTTGTATACAAAAATACTGGAAGGTTAAATCTTTGATCTGAATAACTATAGCGCACTTAATTTGTAAATATTGTTAAAAAATTTAAATGAGAAAAATATCGTAAGATGCGTGTGCACTTTTTTCCAAATTTTCATATTATCACTTTTAATTTTTTATTGTAATGTATTTTATAAATATTTTCCCTTTGAAATTTGAAAAAAAGTGTACAGTGATGTCTTGAACATACATGATGTATTGTTATAATATAACGTTATCAACAATTGTATTATTACCAAGTAATCTATAGACTACTGTTAATTGTAAAATATAAGAAAATATCACATAAAATACAAAAAAAAAGACACTGCCAATATATTTTATTATTTTTAAAGAAGCACAGAGTTCCTCTACTTTTTTTGTATTTGTTTCCGTTGTAAGATCAATTTTTAAAATTATAAATTTAGATAAAATTATAAAGTATAGATGTTAAATAACTTCTGAGACTTTAATTCTTGACTGCCATTTGGTAAATAAATTATACAGATATTTTTATAAAATTATTAATAATAACTCGTACAATATCGATAACTGAAAATATGTTGAAATAGTCGAATTGTTCATGTATATTAAGCGTGAGACGGTTCCACCTTGATATGATTAAATTTCATATGTAGTTTGCACTTGAATTAACAAATTGTTGAATAAGAAGCCAGAAATTTATATATTCCATACATAGCTATACAAAAAGCACCAGCATGCATGTCACATTTATAATTAATGCAAGCCTCGTTATTGAAAATAATCCTTAAATTATATAATGTTATATATTGTTTATTTTCTGTATGTAAAGCATTACTAAAGTGTTAGGTAGCTTTGAAGTAAGTTACAGTGCTTTAGAAATGCGTTCATACGTTTTGTACGTACAAGGTTGTACAAAAAGCTTTATTTGATGTGTTTATAATATTATTTACTTTGTAGGAAAATCTTTAAACACCGACAGCAGGGCATTCCAAGAGCAGCAGAGTATTTTTTTTTTTATTTTTTTATTTTTTTTTATAGTGTAGATATTTCAAAATCATATATATGTATACATATGTATATATGTATATATAAAGATGATTCAGAAGATTTGTGATAAATATATATTACTACCACTGCCCTTAGTTTGTGCTGCGAAGATAAGGCAAATTTAGATTACAAAGCTAAATTACATTTTATACCTATTCCTTATTTATAAAGCAGTTGATAATCATGGTTATTACTAATATTATTTTATCACAAGCCAATGGTGTACGAAATACTTAAAATACTGTCTGTAGCTCGCGAACTGCACAAAGCGTGATACGAGTAGGACGTTCAATTTGACCTTATAGTTTACAGTTGTATTCTGGAAATATCAACCACAAAGTATTATTTTTTTCCGCGAAAGCGAAATTTCATTTTGCATATTTTAACGTAACTGAAAAATATTTGTGAAAACAAATAAAAAAACGAATTTATAAAAATATATAAATATGTTCACATTGGCAACAGAAGAAACACTCAGTATTGTCAAAAATAAAATAAACAAAAACTACTTTTAGCATTAAAATTCACCTTATTACGAGGAAAGTATTGCAGACAGGCAAGAAATCTCTTCAAATAATTTTGTTAGACCTAAAAGAAAAAGTATATTACCAGCAAAATTGTCATTACAATAATAATACGAAATATTTCTATCTTTGTTGTCATCTGAGTACATAATCATGTATTTGAATATTTCAGATCTTTTATAATTGTGTTGCCAATGGTCTTTAATCTTTAAACATCAAATTTAAGTAGTCAGTAATAAATATTGTTTAGGTCAAAGAAAATAATTTAATTCTTATATAATGTAATTTCCTTATATATCCTCAATACACTAATTATAATTTATAAGTATTGGTACAATTTGCAACATATCATACCCTCTTTATAAACAAATTTTATATGTCCATACCAAGGCTGCCAGTATGCATCACAAAAATGATTTATCTCTTTGTCATTCATTCCAGTTAGATTATGATTGTGAAATCTTCAGAAATATGTTTCATGCATTATGTTGTGAAAACAAAATATATTTAAAATCTTGTATTTATAACCTACTCAGCACCAGACACAGGCATACAACAACTTGAACGATGAGGAGATTGTTGTTTCGAAAGATCGACAGTATCTTCTACTAATGGTCTTTCTAGTCTAGCTTCAAGTTGTGCCCAAGCAGCAACAGCTGCACCAAATGCTGCTTCAACATTGGTTGCATCCTTTGCAGATGTTTCCACTAGTGGAGGATCTCCATTTTCTGCACACCAAGCTTGAGCTTCTTCTGTAGAAACTTGCTTCTCAGAATCTGGAACGTCCATCTATAAAAACGATTTTCATAAATATTACTGATTTTCTTATTTATCTCTTTACAAGAATCGCTTACTTTATTCCCAACAACTATAAATGGAAATGTTGATCCTTCTTGAACGTCAGCATAATAAAGAAATTCAGATCTCCAAAGTGCTAAATTTTTAAAACTTGTTCTATCGTCTACAGCATAAGTTAAAAGGCAAATATCAGAGCCTCTATAAAACGGAGTTCTAAGAGTCTTAAATCTTTCTTGTCCAGCTGTGTCCCATATTTGCAATGTGTACGCCTCTCCATTAATTTCAATATCTTTGTTTAAAAATTCTACTCCAATTGTATGAAAACTATGTTCGTCAAAGTGATTCGATACAAATCTATTCATTAGACAAGATTTGCCAACGCCGCCATCACCTAGGATTACCACTTTCAAAAGTGTAGATCTTTGGGAATTACGATTTTGTAAATTACCACCTCTGAGTGTACCCACTGTAGTCGAATTGTTTCCTGACATCTTTCAACTTTTATCCTTTTAGAATAATGAAGAAACTATATGTTCAAAAATACGACATATATGTATGTTCTTCATGTATCGTTATTTTCGACATGAGATAATTCTATTTTTTATTCCTTAAGCATCAAACGTTTGTCAATCTAGGAATCAGCTGATTCTCATACCAAACAAGTCAATTCACTTTTCTTATATTAAATACATCTTAAACGAATAATATACGTTCACTCTGAATTTATAACTTCGTATAATTCGTATCTAGTAAACAATCGTATTATTTAAAACACTTTAATACCGTAATTTTCGTTTTACGATCGGGCATAACCTTTTCATTTTCTAACAGGGCTTCAACGTCAAGTCAAACGGACCTCATGTTATTTTGACGATCGAGATTGCAATTTTCAATTTCGTAGAAGCCATATATTCTATCTTCTTCGATGTTAACTTAATTATTCGGGCAAAGTCGCGATACCTTGGAATGATGCTCTTCGGTTGCGAGTCATAGCCAACACCGAGTGAAATTGCGATTTTCTCGAACGTGTATATATCGTATGGTCACTTCGAAGCATTTGGCAATGGCAAGAATCATAAACAACTTTTTAACGTTTTCGAATGGCTAAAAAGTATTACTGCTCCTGGACATTTTTGTTGTGCGCAAAGTATTTGACACTTTGCAGACGACAAAAGGAACGCCCATGTTGGATGTTAAACATACAGGATGAATATGGCTACCAGAAATTATAAATAAATATTAATCCAATGTATACGTATATATCAGACTATATCTATACTACATCTGTATATCTGTATACCACACGTGTCACTTGAGAATAATTTATATAACAATTAATAATAACCGAAGTTACTCATGCGTATTATTGTAATTTATTCGAAACATTAATATATTTATATGTATATGTATATTCACTATTCTATCAATACATGTATTTAAATTAATATATGTTAAAGCTATAATATATTGTTTTGTTTGGAATATCAATTGAATTAACAGAAATTAATTCAACAATTATAATTTTATGGAATAATGCATATTTAATATTACGATCTGACGCATTGATATCGATCTATGGTATTAAAAATAAAAAAAATATTTGTTAGATAAATTATAAAAATTATCCTACATAGTTATTATAATTATATATAACTCTAGTTTTCATGTAATTTGAATTGCATTTAACCAGAAGATGGTGCTACAGTTCGTGAAAGGTACTTTTCTATATTTAAACGTCATATCGAATTGATCATTAAATTGTAAATCATTTACAACTGAACCTTTATTGAAACATTCCAACGAAGGTATAGAATTATCGAAATTTTCTTTTTTTTTTTTTTATAATAATAACTTAATGAAGTACATAGTCAGTAATAAGTGTGCACATGCATTTCAAAAATTGAAGGGTATAAACGAGAAAAGTTCAGCTCTCAATTAAACAAATACAATTGCGAAGTAAATTAGTTCTGTTTATTAGTTCCTTTATAAATGAAAAGTTGATTGGTTCACGGACACTGAAACACTATCACCACATAGCGGTGGGAAGGTGGAACTAGTCTTTATCGTTGCTTTGTCTCAAAATATTCTACCGTCTATGATGGTGAGAGAATTATTCTTATTATACAGTGTTGAGTTCCTTATCTGTTATGCAACAGATATCTGTTCTTGTCGCATATTATGCTCTTTGTTTACGGATGTGGCATTTTAATGAACAAAGTGTTATCGATTGATAAACAGAATTATTTACAACTTGATAATAATATTTACAATATGATAGTAATAAAATCATTTACAACTTATGTACAATAATTAACAGTAAACTTTTGATAAACTACAACTCTCTTTATTGGCGAAATATCGGAAAACTAAAGAGAATAATTGAACATGTGTAACAATTAAAGTCCCGCGTATTCGAATATTAACCAATAGGGAGCGCCAATAGGTATCGTAAAATATCGATAGTGAGCGATAGCAAAATACATATTCTTATGGCGATAGCGATATATCTCAATATCGCTTGTTATCGATGTTTTGCGATACCATTCGTGATTGGTTGAAGTTTTGCAACGCGGGACTTGCAATTATTCTAGTTAAAGACTTACCGACATTTTGTTATCGTAATTTATTAAATTCTTGAAGGATATCATACCGATGACCTTGAACTCGGATATGTTGTTAAGAACATGATTCCGAGTAATCTTTTCTAATAACTTAATCGGCGGTCTTTTGAGATATTTCTTTTCGAAAACATAACTTTAACAATTCTGCTGCAGACAAGAGATTTGAGGCAAATCGCCATATTGTTTTCTTCTTGAAGAACAAAAGTTTTTATAAAAGTATAAAAGTAAAAATAAAGATGAGAACTTCATTTGTTTAAAAAAAAAAAAAAAAAAGATAAGAAAACTTTGTTTTTGTTCGTCCAAAAGAATCGCCGCTGTGGCGATTTGCCGCAAATTGTTAGTCTATATCGGGTCTTAAGTGGAACACTTTATAGATAACGAGGATAATTACAATTTCCCAATACTCACGATACGATAGCCAAAATTCAATATATTGTATTAAATACAAAGCTTTTTAATTAAATATCTCGGAAACTAATGAAGACCATTGCTAATGTTTTTATATTTTGTCTTTTTTCTCCTTGCGTTTCATTCTCATATCCTAAAAACTTTCAGTACAGTATATTGAATTTCTGTATTCTATATCAATTGTACGTTATCAATTGTCCGAGTTCTCTGTACTAGTAGTCATCAATTATCAAGTAGCTAATGACGCAATAATATGCATACGCGATAATGAAGTTGAACCAAGAAATCAAAATGAGGAAGATGAATTAAATAAAACATGAAAGATAAATTTATATATTTATCATAAAATTCGAATCACATAAGTTTTGTAGACTAGAATTAGTTACCAAATAAATAGATATCTATTTTTTCAGCATAAAAACATTTATTGCAGATAGACGTTCTACACAAGAAAAGATTTATTTATATCTTGAATTTATACAGAATCCCAGCCATCTTCCAGAAAGATGTTGCCAAGTTGCCATATTTCATCGTTATGTATGTATTTGATCATCCTTGATAGTTAAATTTGATACTGCATCAGATTTTAATAGAAGAAGTATTACGCTTTTCTCCTCGAATGTCAACTTTAGCCTCGTATTTTAGGGTATGGTTATAGTGGAGCGGCGAGGTCTCATTCATAACTCTTCATGCCGATATTCTCATCGCTATCTTTGCTGCTAATCTTCGACTAATAAGCATGGTACTGGTCATTTGTCCGGTCAAACACTCTCTTGCAACGAGATAAAAAGGTATTAGAATGAAGAATTTCAAATCGAATTTGATTCGATTATTCTTGAGCAAAAAATTTATATGGATACGATGGAACTCGCAACGAATTCTTACGTATCTGGCAAAATCTGAAGTAAATTTCGCATTAAAAAAAATGTAGCACTGCAGTTTGTATCTGTTGGTACTTTTTTTACTATACAATTATGTTAGAATAGAATTTATAGATAAATAAATTTTCATACATTTTCATATAAAGAAACTTAAAAAATCATAATAACATAACATGGTTACAAGTTACTTTAATAATTAACAGTACAGTTGTATATAATATAGTATGGCACAACACACAGATTTAAATCAGTCTTAACATTCGTATCGTGATCTTCGTCATACGTCATTCTTCACGCACATAATTTCGTAACACTTTTTTAGGTTTTGTACTTTTACACAAAAGGAAAATGTTTTTTTTTACTTCGACGACAGAAAAACTGAACCACTTTAGATCGTACTGTTCAAAAAGCTATACACAAAGGCCACCATAATGATGATATACATGAAATACCACTTTACGAATACCACTTTGGCTAATTGTAAGTAACTAAATGAGCTAGCTAAGAAATAAAATGAGTTAATGAGAAATTAAATGCGCAGGTGGATGCAACTACGAATGACAATTATATAACGCTATACATAGCTGTGAAGTGAACGCCTTTCTTGAAGCATCATCATTGCATTTTGAGTGGCCATTTGGCCATTTAACGTGATATTGTTTTTCTTTTTCTTTTTTTTATATGGAAGAATGTCAGATTTTTACCGATTAGAATCTCCACGGCCTATACGTGACCTATGGGAGGGGAATCAGGATTCTCCAGTGGATTTCTCAACGATTTCCCCTTCAACGTCTTGCCTTTATCAGGCCCATCCCGAAGTGGAGATACAATCCTCTCAATTTGTTTGTCTGCAACAGCACCAGGAGCCACACCCCGGTCCCATTCCTTCCCGGGGTCATCTGGAGATAACGGATACTCCTCGATGACCCTGACGGTGCTTGTGTGTCCGTTAACAAGGTGCTTTGGATTCCAGCCCTTTGTCACACAACCATCTGTCTTCCATGGGCTCTCGTCTGTCCGCGCTGCTCCGAGCACCGCAGTCCTTCAGTGTTTAGCCAAATCTAGATTCAGCTTCTCCTTCTGGGCACCGATCCGAGTCCCTTGCTTCGATTTGCTGCAAATACTTACCGAAACACCTACATATTAACCTCCACCAAACCGGGAGCGCCGTCTCTACCAACTGGTAGTTTTCTGTCATCCTCATTGACCACTCACTCTTTCGCACTCTGTTTCAGAAGGCCGTAGCCTTCACAGAGCCCCAAGGAGCACAGGGAGGTGAGGTGAGTGGACCATTTGACTGGTACAGATCCTCAACTTTGCTGAAGAGACACCGCCCAACTAGTAGGCCTTATGTGAATCATCAGCTTCATCGAGGTTTTTGGTCCTAGTTCGGAGACCCCGAGGTTCAGAAAAACCTGCACCAATCTCAGCTCCCCAACGTGATACTGTGTGTATCAATGTCGACTCCTGTTTCATCCTCTCAAATACGTTGGTTTTGACCAGTAATTCAATAATGGAAACATATTCGTTCTCTGTTGCCAGATGCATCGACATACGAGCCTTATGATTAGTGATGGAGGCTGATGTTTTGACATCGTAAAAGTTGATGTTTCATCGCTTTGGGTGCTTGATATATACGTAATGCAGTTTATTTATTGTTCTGGAAGAATATTCACATTTAATTATATTTAAGAACGTTTTTTTTAAAGATACGTACTTAACATCTCCTTAATTCTGAAATCATATGATTCTCGCGTAGATTTTGCATATCGTAATTCATAAAAATTCGTACCATTCTTTCTTCTGATCACTAGATGAAGAGCCCATGGTAATAGTTGATGCAAAGCTGATCCTAGGCGACAACAATTCTTTATACATTTTCATACGATAGATTTTACAAAATTAACTGTCAGTTATTTAGGCAGTCAAACTCAATACTGTTTAACATTTGAATAAAATTTATACGTTTCTCAGACAATAGTTGACTGAGCGGGCGCTAAAAATAATTCCAATAGGACTACAAAAAATACGACCGCAAAGAGTTAAAGCTGAAATTAAGACAAGTCAGTAATATTTCAATATATTTATGTTAATAGTTTTTCGATATTTCTATGTTAGTAATTATTTTATGGAAATAGGACTTATAGAGACTTATACATAGATACAAAAAAAAAAAGTAGAAAAATTGATAGTATTTTTTTCAATACTTCTTTTAGCTACAATAATTTTTAGCTATTAACAATTTTTAGTCAAAAATGTCCAATATTTAGTCCAAATACCATTTATAGTCTTGCCATTCTTCCATCTTCGTTCTTCTATTACTTCATAGAGCAATAATAAATGAAGCAATAGAATTAACAGGATGGGCCGCGTGAAGGCGTGAAAGAAGGTCTTATCCATCCCAAAGTACATTAAATGTTTATTAAAATTGCCAAAAAAAGACAATTAAAATTGTCAAAAAGATATTTATCAACACATTGAATGTACTTTTAATACATAGTTAGAACACATGTATTTGCTAAAATAGGATACAAAAATATTACATGTAAAATTTAGGATAAATGCAACGTGACATGTGCAATGTTAACTTCAAATCCCATCCGTAAAGGAAGAAATGCAGTAAATATAAATTAAGAACAGCAAATCATCCAAATCTAGCTAAATTCTTTATACATGTCCAGTATCAAAAGAGACTGAGAAAACATCCGCAGGATTTAACGACACAAAATTGATTGCAAATACAAGAATATTGCAACAGTGCTACTCCAATGGGGGTAGCATCCACATGCTACCCATTAAAGTTACAACAACTCGCCGAATGAGACAAATTGCAAGAAGATTAACTCTAGTGATTAAAAAAAAAAAAAAAAAAAAAAAAAAAACAGCGACGGCAAACGTGGTGAAGACACAGTTATTAAAAAATTAGTTAAAAATTAACAAGAACAAAAAATGTAAATTCTTCTCTCTAACTCCTTTTACAGATTTTTTTTTATATTTACAAAGTTACAACAATTTTAAATTGTACACGGACAACTGCATCCCGTTCTAACGTCAAATTATGATTCGTGTATTTCGTAAATAAGTTGGTTGTAGTTTCGAAAAGCACCAGTTTCCGATCGACGTGAAAAATTTTGAGAAAATACAGGGGAGGACGATGACAAATATACAATTTATTAATTTCCAAAATGTTAATAAAAAGAAACTTTCGATATAATATATATTGAATTGCGATAGTGATAATGTAATTGCATTTATTATTACTCGGTAGCATTTTTAGCGAGTAAAGATCGATTTATATTTAAACATTCTTGTGAATAATAAATAAACTGTGGATTTTTATCCAGATTCATAATTTTTAAAATATAATAAAGAAAAAAAGAAAATTATTTTAAATACTACTTATGGAAAGTACTGTAACTTAGATATCTCATGTTTCTTTATATTATGCGTATATCGTGTGTAATTTCATAATTGAAAATTTCCTATAAATGCACATAAATCTGCAGTCTAGTAATCGTAACGTTCTACGTCTAAATGGATAAATGAATACTCGTTCATACATGGAATGATTCAATTCAGACAAACAAAATTGTCTAAACATGGCTTGACCAACGATAGCAATATGCATTAGTATGAATTTTACCTTTTTTCTTTTATCTGAACGATCGTTTCGTAATTGATCGTATGAATTCAATATTTTTTTTTTTTTTTTTTCTGAATTGAATCACTGACTCAATTTATATAAAAGTAATATATAAATATTACTTGTGGTTAAAGTAAATCGTTCCATGTTTGAACAAATAATACGACATATTTGCTTTGCTAATGCGGTATGTTCTGCTTCGATTAAACTGTAACTAAATTCTGTCGTTGATTCGATCACGAGGACTATTCAATTATACAAAACATACAAAAATCGTTAGAAATCGAAAGATTTACGTATAATCGTAACATCCTTCGTAGTCCACGCCTGTACACGTCTGCTTAAAGTAAATATAATACAATTACTGTTATTGTCTAGAGATACAATTTCATAATTCGCTATTCCTTTTAAACTCTTTTCTTTTTTAACATTCATTTTAAAAATTAGCTCAATTTATGAACAGCGAATTGAATATCAGATTTATTAGCTCTAACTGCAACTAATTGTGTTTCGCGACACGGTTTGTTCCAACAAATGCAAACCCGGGGCTAAGTGAGAATTTTAACTAATTTCGCATCATCCACGTTCGAAACATTTCAAACATTCTTTCCACGTGTTATTCTTGCGTATCAATTTTGATCGTACGATTTTATCCGTCACGAGCAATTTCTATATCAATAAATTGCCCATTTTCTTTTCACCGGAGTCGCTTCGTATGGCATTTTATTCACGCCTCTTTCACCTGCATTTACTGCAAGCATCAAATCTTGTTTTTTGTTACATTACTCTTACACTCGCATGAATTAGTTTACTTTTCCAAGAAACAGCAAAGAAAATCAACTTGAGTGATCGGTCTTCATGATCCATCATCTTCATTTGCAACCGTGAATTCTTGGATTTCAGAATTCAAGTGTGGTCAAGCGACAAATATGATTGAACCGCGTTCGAGGCATCGAAAAACTGGCGTCACGTTAGAAATTGTGAATAACCATGGTTCTGGAGGATCAATGGAAATTGCAGAAACTTATCTCTCATGAACAAGTAGTTCATATTTTACATTTTACACGATGAATCGAGTTTTAAAAAGCTTTCTGCAAAATGAGTTCCACGCGTCGCATTCGAATCCGAATGTAATGCGCAATCTTCACAAGAAGAAAATCTTCTAATTTCATCTCAGGCACGTTTCATTCGATCCGTCTTTTTAATAGCATTCGTGCTATGTTTTCAGTGAGTTCTTTCGTGCTACAATATACACATAGCTATATTATGCATTGTAAAGGTTTCTTTGTTTTGTGAAGCATTTCTTCAAGATAGAAGTTTCAGAAGTTGCCCCTCGTTCAGTGGTTTTGTAGAAAAAAAAGCGTGTCAACGTCACTAAAGCGGTCTACGAATTAAAGTGATAATTTCTTCGCAGAAGTAAACCAATAATCTTCTGCCTCGATCACTTAGAATGGCGAGGCCTTGAAGGATCCTAGATTATCTTCTGAATTCGCCGGAACAACGAATAACCACAATTTGTGACTCCAAGGAGACGTGTAGTGAATACGCTAAATCCTGTATCGGCAGGATGAACAGGTCGATAAAGATTTCACTACTGCCATTTTTCTCACATCACACACGAGAATCTCTTTTGCGTTACTTTCGTTGAAGACAAAAGATATGGCAGGAAAGTACATCTGACTCTTTTCTTTATACACTTCACGCACGTGACGATATCGTTCTATTATTTCTGTTAATTAATTACGTATTAATTCTGTTATACTATTATTTCTGTGCCTAATACTGGCAAAACTTCTCCACCGGCATCTTTCACGTGTTCTACTTTGTCAATTGGAATATTCTAACTCTTGGAGTTCGCCATCCGTACCACGTATCTGTCATTTTGCATTTCCAACATTAACAACGGTTCTTGAACAATATGGCACGATTTTCTTTTTCTAGGTCGTTTGTCTCCGACATTTTGTTTTGTTTCTTGGCAAGGAACTTCCTGCTACATACTAACTGCACGAAAATTACTTCATTTCTGCGATTTTTTTTATTCTCTGCCGAGTTCACCTGGCCACTTGAAACTGTTTCCTCTGCATATTTATTATGTCAGAATTTCCCACTTGTCAAAGTATCGTCTCTACATTGATACGAGACATTTAAGCGTTATTGAACTCTCGACGGTGCTCTCCCAAATTATTCTAAATGCAGAGGAGTTACAGCACTTTCACAAAGCTTTCTCTCTCGTATCATCTAGCTTTACATAAATGGTTTCAAAGCATTAGAAGTTTCCATTGCGATTGGATCATGTTCGTAAATACGAAATTTATGAAAGCTTTATGGATGGTTTCTCCCACTTAGTATCTTTTGGCGTTGTGCAATTTATTAAATTAGCAATAGACGTTTCCATCGAGCTAAGGAGAATTTTATCCATGTCTTGGAACCAAGTTTCTTACATTTTCCCCATTTCTTCAATTGGTTGATTCCTTGTCCATTTGAAAATTCAACGAATCTTGCGCCTCGAACAAGGATGTGTTTTCTCTGTTGTATTTTCGTACGGATGCAGTACTTATACTGTTGAGTTTTGTAATATTCTTCGCGATTTGTCACTTAGCGAAACGAAAAATTATTACTATATAGCGTAACGCACGGATTATTTAAGACATTCGGAACAACAACGAAACTGAGACGCGATGACTGACGGAGAAAAACAGAAAAATATTTCAGGCGTATTAGAAGACCAGAACCAAATGAAACGAATCTCTCCGCAATCGAAACCAAGAGCGAATTGTGCCGAAATATAGGAAGCAGGTATCGCACGTCGTACGGTTAACGTAGCATAAAGTGAAATAGTCTATTCTCCAAAATTGACGAGGATAACGACAGACGCTTAAGTGAGAAAAAATGCGGACGCTTTAATGGTAATTATAATACGATAATAGAAGACAAAGAAAAAATATTTTATATTTTATAGTGAGATTTCTGTCGATGTTTTACAAGCAAGTGGACATTGTAAGTGGCCAAGAGCGCAATTACAGTTAACAGTAGAAAAATCAAACCCATCAATGATTTTTGATGATCTTTCTGATACACTATTGTTCAAATTAACATCGATTTCTGTTTAAACAGAAAGATAACTGCATAAATCTATTTATTTTAATTATTATCATTACAATTATAATATCTTGATAAGTACTAAAGTCTGGTTATTCTAATGCGAAGAACAAATGGTAATTTGCGACGGTT